TCTTCAGAGGAAGCCCAGGTGCCCCTTACTCCAGGGGTCTCCACTCCGCTGGGGGGCCTGGGGACAGCTGCAGGGTTCCCTGCTTTTGTCCACACTCTCCAGAGAACAGGGCGCTCCGGGTCTGGACATTACACCCTCCAATCACAGAGCCGCCACCGTCCCCGTAACACTGTAAGCACCCGGCAGCTGGCATCTGGGATGGGATTTTCTTGTCCCTTTTGGGCAGACAAGTGACGCTGCACGGCTGGTCGACCTGGCTGAGGTCCCTAGGAGTTTTGATGAGCTTGTCCAAAGCCCGGCTGAGGGCAGCGTGGGCGCCCCCATCCCACCCAAACGCTATCCCTCGGGGCCAGACTTGGGAAAGCGAGGGGTGCCCCACGGCCCCGTCCACACCCATCAGTAACAGCTGCAGCTTTGCCCTGTAAGAGCTATAAGGAGTCAAGCACGTTTTCAGCGCCCTGCCCCCCACCACTGTGGGGTCCCTGCTTCGGGGGGCATCGTAAGGGCGGTTTTGAACCTCTCCAACGGGACTGCATCTGCTTCGTGAGTAGGGTGGGCGACCTCCCGAGCTGGAGGGCAGGGAACGGGGCACACGGGGATTGAGAAAGAGAAGCGAGCTCACGTGGACCACAGGCCCGCTCAGACCCTCTGGGTCTCAAGGCCACGCCCCTCCCCACAGAACCGCACATGGAAACGGGGTGCGGTCCAACAGCCTGGGAGATGTCCCAAGGAATGCGTGGCGTCAGCGCTGGCTGGGCACCCGGATGTGCATGGGAGCGTCCAGCCCCACCTGCCCCCTGGCCTCGCTGTCCGGCCACACCCCACCTTGCAGGTGCCCCTCGGTGGTGGCGGTGGGGCTTTCCCGGGACAGCTGGCTCTGCCTTCCCTGGTTCCGGGGCCTGGCGGCTTTCAGTCAGCAGTGGGGTCGACTCCCGCCAATTCACTTCTTTTAGGGAACTGAGAAAAAGGTGGGGGAGGCACCATTTCATAATTAAAATCTTCCTGTGGTGGGAGGAGGCAACCAGGGCTCCCTCCGTCTGAGCCGCAGCCCCGACAGACCCGGTGCCACCTTCGGGTCCCTGAAAGCCTCCTCACCCTGGGGGGACGACCACCGTCCCCAGCTCTGGGGCAGGGCTGCGCCTGTCCAGGCTGAGGGCAAGGTTGGCCGGTGTGACTCGGGCCGTGGCGGGAATGCCTGCGCTCACCCCCCCTCGAAGCACGTGTGTCTGTGGGGGCCGAGGGTGGGGCGGGGAGGGTGACTGGACAGCAAACAGCAGTGTGGCCCCAGCCCTGGGGCTTCTGAGATTCTAGCACATTCCCATGAGCTGCTGTCCACTGGATGCCCCGTCTCCGTGGAGACCAGCGTTCCCACCTCCACTTCCTGTCCGCTGGCTCAGGCCCCCTGGGGAGCACGAGGAAACCATCCCTAAGAGCTCCTCAGCTGTGCAGAGAGAAGCTGGGGGGGGGGGCTCGCTGTTCAGCCCCCGACTCATGCCCCGCCACCCTTCCTCTCCCTGGGAGCCCAACGGGATCTCATGCCAGAGGCTCGGTCACGGTTCCCGAAGCCTTGGGCTCAGGCCCTTCCCATTCACGTGCTGCTGAATCACTTGAAAAAAATGCACCCCGATCCTGGGAGGATTTGCTGAGAACAGTGCGGCTTTGTGGAAGGAAGTGCTGCTCTGCACTTTCCCCGCCAAGACCCTGAGGAGCGGCCAAGCTCGGCCCTACAAAGCCGCAAGCCTGGAGCCCGCAGCGGGGGCAGCAGCTGGATGGCGCAGGGCGGGGGGCAGAGGGACCATCCGGCCACCCCGCTGCAATCCTCGCCTGCCCACCGGCTGGCAGAGGGGCATGGAGAGGCTGGCTGGGCCTGCCCCCACACTGCCTCTAACAGGCCGTGACCCCGGGGGAAGTCTGTGCCCCTCTCCGGGCTGCCCCACATGCAGGGGTGAGAGTGGGAGGGCCGGGCCCACGGCTCAGACTGGGCAGCCACCCTCCCCCTTGTGTAGGACTGAGACCTGCAGCCTTGTGGGCTGACCCCAAGCCATGGCCACTCAGGCAGAGACAGGGATGTAAAGGCTGGGATCCCAGGGTCCACGCTCCAGCTTCCAGCGCGGGGAGAACCTGGGAGGCTCGTGTGCCCGCCACTCCTCCTACACCCTAGAATTCAGCTGAGCAAGGAAGGCTGCCCCCCTACCCACCAGAGCTGGCAGTGTAGAGAGGCGTGGTCAACCCCGCACTCCCTCCCCAGCCTGCAGCCCGGCCGGGGCTGTTCCAGCAACTGTAGAGGCAGGCAACGCGTCCACATCAACCCCCCATCGTGCCACAGAGGGAGGACGCGGGGGCGGGAGGCCGTCCACATGTCGGGGCCGTCCTCTGCTCACCAGAAGAACCGCTGCAGGTCCGAGAGGGGGCCCTGTGCCCCAATTTTAAAAACCTTCATTTCCCCTTTATTTTACATCTCTGAGGGTCTAGGTATCATCATGTACCCCATAACCACTCACCTGGCTGGGTGGCGGAGGAGAAAGGCATGAGGACCCTTGGACCGGACAGTAAATGTTCTAGTAAATTCAGAATGGTGTGGAAACAGGGAAGCTGCCCCCGAATGTTTGAGCAGCAGCATGAAACCCATGGAAAGTTCTAGAAGATACTGTGTTCGGAGAGGGTGGACCCCCAGGGGAAGACGCAAGAAGTGGGCCAGGACGACAAAGGTGCACACAGTCATCGTGTCAGGAATCCTTGCTGCCACCTGGCCATGCCCCATGGGAACCTGCCAGGAGCCCCCACTCTTCCTGGTGGCATTGTCCCAGGGTCCCAGGGCCTCTAGCACCGTCGTCCAGGTGCGTCTGAGCAATCTGCAGGGAGCAAAGCAGCACCCGTGGCCCCCAGCCCTCTGCAGCCCCGGTGGGAAAGGGCAGGGTGTCTGCAGCTGGGGGACAGGGTAGGCGAGACCGTCGGGCACCGGTGACTCACCCTCTACCTCGTCTCCCTGTCCATCTCCTATGTCTACTTTTAGCTCAAGTGTGGCCGAGAAGGGGCACTTCCTCGCCTAGGACACTCAGGCCACAAATACTACCTTGGGAAGTAGAAACGAAAATAACCCCCCGGCAGGCAGGCTCCTCCACTCATCGGACCGCAGCCTCCAGGCGCTCAGGCTTCGGGTCCCATCACGGCCATGGCTTTAAACCTCGTGATCCCACGGCGCCCTCTGGGACCAAAGTGACTCTTTAGCAGCAGGCTGGAGCCCCAGGTGACCCCGTACCCTGCAACCACAGCCCAGCCTCCCCTCAGCTAATCCTCATCTGGCTTGGGAGTCTCAGACCCTCCTGGCCCCAGGGCTTCATGCTCACTCATGTTGGGCTCAGATCAGACGGTCAAGTTGGCTTTGCAGCCCCAGACCCGTGACATTCCAGCAGCAGAGGACAGAATGGAAACGGGCTGGGACCAAACATTTTCTCTACCTAACCTGGAAAAGCCAGATAAGACAACGGAGCTCAGGGAGATGCTTCCAATGAGATTAAAAACGAGAGATCGTAAAAGCTCCCTCACCCCGGCTACTGGGGATTTGAAAAGTACCCCCCAAAACTTATAGGGTGCCATCCCTGCCCCGTCTGAGTGGCCTGTGTGGGGGTTCCGTGAGCCTGATGCACTCCAGGGAAGCGCTTGGGTTTCTAACGGGCCTGGTCACCCCACATCTCCCTGTGCAGCCCGCAAACGGAGGGCCGAGCCCCAAGTCTGGCAGGCACGCAGCTGAGGAGGAACGGAACAGGGAAGGAGCACACAGGCAGAAGCTGTTTCTGAGAAACAGTCTAGGTCCTGGGTTTGGATGGCAGGCTCACGTCCTTCATCATGCTATCCAGGAAGTATCCACTAAGGGACAGAATGCCGTTCATGGACCAATGATAGAAATGCACCACGACCCAAGACAGACGATCTTCTTCTGTGGTCCTGGGGAGGGAGAGAGGGAGGGAGGCAGCCACGTCCTCCCTACGCCAGTCCAGGGGTCACCTAACTATGGCTTGAGGTCTGCACCCAGGTACCCCCCTCCCCATTTTTGTGAATAGAGTCTTACTGGGAACCTGGCCCTGCCCATCCACTTACGTGCTGTCTAGGGCTGCGTTCAAGGTGCTGTGGCAGGGGTGGGTCGTGGCCACAGAGACCGGTGGGCTGGCAAACCTAGAACGTTTATTATCTGGTTCTCTGCAGAAAAAGTTTATCCGTCCCTATTCCTGTCTCGAAGTATCTGCCACTGGCAGAAGAACCCCATCCCACCCAGGCAGGGTCCCCAGGGCTGCCGGGTCAGGGGTGCAGCGGGGGTGGGACATGACCAGCCAGCTAGGCGCCCCGCCCCTGCCTGCCCCAGGCAGAGGCAGCTGGCAGGCTGCATTGCTGCGGACCCCTCCCCTTTCTTCTCTGGGGCTCTGTCTTCTCTTTGTCCCCTTCCTCCTGCCTCTCCTCTGCCTCTCTCCCTGTCTCCCTTCCCAACATTAAAGTGACAAGAATATCGTAAGCCAAGTCCCATGAAATGAGGTTGGCTTTGGTGACTTGCAAGACGAAAGAGACGTTAGCGCCATCTCCCCATGCGTGTCCCAGCCAACTGCCAAGCAACAAATGATGTATCTTTTGAAACTCTGCCCGCTTGACCTTGGACGCCCCTGAAGTCCAGCGCTTATCTGCTGAAAACGTCTGGACTCCTTCCCTCACCTGCATCCCTGGCTGAGCTCCCGGCCTGCGCGAGCGGCCTCAGCCTCCGGACCCGCTCCGCGCCCCACCCAACAGGTTCCCAGGGTCGTGCCAGGGAGCCTTCCCGGATGGGACTTGGGTAGAAGGCCTGTGGGGGTGGGGGGCGGCGGGGACAGGCGGCCCGCCAGGAGGGGGCCCACGGGGTCTGAGCGGGGAGGGGGACGCACACACAGACTCTCTGGGCGCGGGTACCATTTCCGGCATCATGCCCGTTATCAGCGATGTATTTTTATCATGGGTGGGACGCTCGCTCGCTCTTATCATATCCTCTGAAACTCATGCAAGCGTTTCCTGGCTTCCGCGAGAAACTGCTTGTGCAATTTGTTTTGCTCTTCAATTTGCTGCTGAAGGTCATGGATCATCTGACTGTGCCTGTCATCGTCGATGACGAAGCCAGAGGCCCAGGGGGAAGTGGTGTCGCAGGCACACGCCCCTTCCTCCTCGGGGTCTAGGGAGGAGTAAGACGTCAGGTGGGCCGGGCCTGCCCTTCTCTGTTCTCTCTGCCCTTCCAGCCCGGCCTGGGAGCGGGCTTCCCGGCTCAGCCCCAGGGGCCCCGTCCCGGGCACCGGCTCCCGTGGCTCATCTGGTCTCCGCCGCAAGGCCACGAGGCTGGTTCCGTCTGCCTGTTCTTGTAGGCACCGGCGCCGGGGGCCCTCCGCCAGCGGGTCGGGTCTGGCCAGTGCCTCCCTGGAGCCCAGGCCACCCAGGAGCCGGTTCTCTGCGCCGATAAACACCCCTGCCTTGGGAGACAACGGTTCACTCATGGTCTTAGACGGGAACGTCGCCGGCCTGAGATATTTCTGGTTCTTGAGGTTGCTCAAGAACTCCTCCAAGCTGGTTCGGGACTCGGTCTGGTGGGCCTTTGCTTGCGCTGGCCCCGTGGGCCCCGCGCCGGGCTCCACGTCCGCTTCCGGGCCCACCGCTGGCTTGTCGCGCTGGGACTCACCCCTCGGTTCTCGCACGTCGCGGGGGCTGAGCTCGTCCCTGGTGCTCTGATCCGCCGCGGGCCCCAGGGCAAGGTGCAAGGTCAAGTGCTTCTTCAGCTCCCTGTTTGTGTTGAACAGCTCCTGGAAGGCAAACTCCAGCTCCCTCTGCCACCTGCTCTTGTCCCCGCACCTGCACAGAGACACCTGGGGCGCAGCACCCCCTCTGTGGGTCCAGCCGATGGACCCCGGCTGTTCTGGGTTCTCTGTGTTTCCCTCGGGGCTCTGATCCAGGGAGCTATTTGTCGGGCCCTGACCAGGAGGAGTTGCCCCCTTTCCCGGCCGCCACCTCCTGTCCCGGGCTCCTTCTTTCTCCCTTCTCTGCAGATGCCCGAATGCCCCCGGGACAGCCAAAAACTCTTCTCTGTCCACCCCTCTGCTCCTCCAGGGGTCAGCGGGACGGTGGCCACCGCGGGCCTTCATCAAAGGCGGTCGCTTGCTCTTATTCTGCTCGCGGGGGCAGAGGGGGCGACGGGTGAGGCCTGCGGCTCTGGGAGCCCCCAGCTTCTCGGGGCCCGCGGCTTTCCTCTGGGACTGGGTAAGCTGGGTCTGCCGTCCAGCCAGCCCTTCTTTGCGATTCTTCTCTTCTTGGACGGCTGCTCTGTGCTTTTCCCGGGCCCTGGGCGGCCGGGCTGCTCCTCGCTGGGCCGGCCCCTCCGAGTCAGGCCGGTGCTCCCTGGCCTGTCCTCCCCCAGCACCTAACCGATGGGCTAAGTACAGGTGCTCCAGGCCCCGGACGTGCTGGGGCTGGCTGGGGGCCTCCAACTCCTTGGCCAGGCGCGGGGGCTGCGGGCTCTTCTGCTGCAGGAGGTCTTGTCTCTGCAGGGCCAGGGGTCCCTTCTCACGGACCTGTAGCAACCTGTGCTTCTGCCGTAAGCGCGGGGCCTGCTGCTCGGGGCTGGGACTCAGATGAGCGGCTCTGTCTGCATTTCTTTTCATGTCGGTGACCTGTGCGGACACGGCTTCAGAGCGACGGTGGCAGGAACCAAGAGCGGGAGTCAAGGCGCGAGGGGCCGGGGAGCCACAGTTGCCACGGCCGGCCCACGCGAAGCCCGCACGACCACAGCACACTCTGCTGCCCGGAGCGTTCTGAGAACAGCGAGCCCCTGGGGACAAGGCACACGCAGCTCTGAATGCAGGACGAGAGCTAAAACGTGTCCCTCCCGGTCACTTAGGCCAAGGCCCACCCGCAAGGGCATGGGCTCGGGTCCCCGTCTGTCTGGCACACCTTTAACGGGACCCTGGGGGGCAGCTGTTTTCAGTGGGGTGCGGTTTCGATCTCCAGGGGACATCGGCCACATCTGGGGACATTTTTCCTTGTCAGAACTGGGGGGAGGAGATGTACCCGGCGTATGCGGGCCAGGGACGCTGCTCAACATCCTGCGCTGTCCGGGACGGTCCCCACAGTGGACAGCGGCTCAGCCCCCCTTGTCAGCAGTGCCAAGGCTTAGACCCCCACCTGATCTCCCACCTTAGGAGGGGTGTTGGGACGCTGGTGGGGGTAGAGGGTGCGAGTGGGCTCTGCGGGGGGGGGGGGGGCTGCTCACACAGGGAGGGAGGAAAAGGTGGAGGAGGAGCCTCTAGGTTAGGGTGTGAGTGTGCGCACGTGTGTGCGTGTGCGGATTAGTGTGTGTACGTGTGTGTGCGCACAGGTGCGGGTGTGCGCACATGTGAGGGCTGTGGGGGGTGTCCGTGTGTGTGTGCACGTGTGCGTGCACGTGTGTGTGTGTGTTCGCGTGGTACTAGAATCCGCCCATCAGGGGGGCTTAAGCTTCTTTTCTCAGAATCCAGAGCTCTTCTCCTGTGGGGTTATCGGAGGGGGACACTTTGGCATCAGGAAGGGACCCGTGGTCCGTAGGCCTTCCTAGACCAGGAGGGGCATTTACACCAACAAAGTGTGGACTCACACCTGTGGACTCACACCTGTGGCCACCTGCTGATGTCAAGACCAGCCAGACGGGATGGGCTAAAGGAGCCCCTTCCTGGGCAGGGGCCGGCCATGCCGAGGGCCCCTCCACCACCCCTCCCTGCTTCCACGTTAGTCTGTGTGCAGCCGGGCTGAGCCAGGCTGGCCCAGAGGCATGGCAGGAGTCGGAAGACGACCCCGCATCCATGGAACACAGAACAGTTACAGCTATCTGCTCATCTTCTATGCGATAACCCCGTGAGGCAAGGAGCCACCAGCACCCCTGGTTCACAGGTGGGGAAACTGAGGCAGGGCCCGATTAAGAAACTTGACCGGATCACACAGCTGGCGAGTGGCAGAGACGGGTCTGTGCCACTCTCGTGCACCCCGGTGCCTTCGACCAACCGAGGCCGCTCACACGGCCACCGGCTTTCGGTAAATCTGATCCGGTTAGACCCTCAGAACAGCGGTCACTCCACGCAGCTACTCTGCCAACCACTGTGATGAGCCGGGGGGTGGGGAGCAGGGGTGCGGGCCGTTGAGTGCCTGGGATTTGGCAGAGGAGCCCCCGGAACTCGACGGGGGAAGGAAGAGTTTGGGTGTTTTCGAGACAGATCGTAGCCCCGTACAAAACCACACCACATATGAAAACGAACTCAAAACGGAGCACGGACCTTAACGCAAGGTCTAAAGCTATAGCTTCAGCGCGAGACACACGTCTTCACGACCTTGGGTCAGGCAAGGATTCCTCGGATACGACCCCCAACGCACAACGAACAGACGAAACCAAGAGGATGGCGGGATCGAAACTAAACACGTTTGCAGGCCGAGGGACATCATTCGTAAGAGAGAACAAAAGGCACAGGCTGGCAGGAAGGACCCGAGAATCACACGCGCAACAGAAGGCTTGAATCCAGACTCTGAAAACCACTCGAGATGCAGTAAGACGATCCGATCTTTAAATGGGCCAAAAAAAGGCAAAACAGACACTTGATTAAAGAGAAGGCACACGGCTCATAAAGCGTGAGGCTCCAGCATCGCCCGTCAGCGGGAGGGGGGAGCACGCGGAAGCGACGGGGGACCATTCGCGCCCACCGGGACGGCGATGACGAGACAGACGGACCCTAACAAGTGCTGGTGAGGACTTCGAGCCGCCGGCTTCCTCCCACGCCACTGGCGGAATGCAAAACGGTGCAGCCGTTTTGGAAAACAGTTTGGGCGATTCTGAAAAGGTAAACGCAGATTTGCCACGTGTCCCAGCAACCGCACGCCAGAGGGTGCGCCCCAGAGAAAGGCAAGTGCGGGCCCAGACCGAAGCCGCGGGAGCACAGGGGGACTAGCCGACCTTCCCGGCTCATGGGGAAGATGGGAGTTTGGGTCCGAGTCGCAAATGTGCCTGGGCTCTTTCCGCCCTGCGAACGGCCACCGTGGGGTCCGGACAGGAGGGGAGAGCAGGGACTGTCCCCTTGGCCACTCTGGAAGACCCCTGGAGCAAGAAGGGAAAGCCCACCCCCGGGTCCAGTGGTGCCCTGGCTCACCTTCTGTTAACCGGTGATGGTTAGTAACACCCGGACATGCCTCTCCCGCTCAGTCACCCTGACCCAGGCCCCCGGAGAGGGCCCCCCCAACCAATACCACGGAGTTGGCTTTCCGCGAGACGGGCGAACGGATGGAAACTGAAAATGGCTGACAGACTTCTTGAGGACAAAGTGCGGAAATTACGGTCAGCTCCCAGTTCAGAAGCGAAAACCCCGCGACGCCCAGCAGACGCCAGCTCGCCCTCCGCCCACGCTCCCAGCTCCTCCAAGCTGCCACCTTCCTGCCCGGCCCCGCGGGCGAACGTGAGACCGGAGTGTTCTGAGCGTCCTGGGGTTCTCCCTCCGGTCTTGCACTCCTGCTCCCCCAGAGCTGGACGGCTGCCTGCCCCAGGCCGGCTGCCTTCAACCCCTTAGGGAAACCGCAGCCCCCGTCCCGACACAAGCCCCACTCAGAGCAGCAGACGGACGGCGAGGTGGACACCGTCTGGCCTCCTGTGCCAAGCAGACACTGGGCCCATTCTCTCACACCCCGTGGCCCCGGTGCAGTGGCCACCCCCAGCCAGTCACGCCAATCGCCCTCCAGTAGAGACGGGCCCCTGCCAGGCCTCTGCGGAGACCTGCTCGTGGGCGGCCGGCCGGTGCCAGGCCCAGAGCAGACTCCAGGGCCCCTCACGCCCATGAGCAGCAACGCCGACAGTGCCACAGTCAGAGGCCTGGGGGGACACAGACCCGGGGCTCCGACGTCAGACAGGACAGATTCCACCACAGGGTCTCCAGTCCCGTGGCTTCCTCCCGCATACGAGAGGCACAAGGCGGCCCGCACAGGGCTATGGAGGGGTGACACGGGCAAAGCCATGCATGTGCCCAGGACCCACCCACTGCCCGTCCTCATGATGGCCTCAGAGCCTGCAGGGGGCCCGGCCTGCGCTCAGTGGACGGTCACGTGGCTGACGCATGGCAGCTGGCTGGGACAGACCCCGCAGCCCTCCAAGTGCCGGCATCTGTTGCGATGACGCTGTAGGTGGTAGTGGGGCCCCTGGAACGACGCCTGTGGTCATCAGAATGACAGAACGTGGACATCGCACCCCTCAGGGAACGTGGGGCATCCATCTACCTCGCACACCTTCTTTGCGGCTGGAACCCACAACATGATCTGAGGGCTCACCTGGGCCCACGGGACTGCACGCGATTTCACAGACATTTAACCAAATGAGGTCACGTGTGTGAAGAAAACGGTCAAACGGAGTTTGATGTGTGGACAGGACACTGACCGCCATGTAAACCTCATGGACGGCAGACCTCTGTGGCACAGGCCGTCGCTCTTGCCTGGTCTCACCACAACAGGGCAGCTCCAGCCCTATCCCCACTTTCCGATGGGGAAACAGACTCAGAGAGGTTAAGTAACTTGCCTAAGGCCACACAGCTCAAAGCAGGGCAGCAAGGGTTCAAGCCTGAGCAGGCTGAGCCCCGATCTGAGTCACCTGCCCTGCGGCGGAGAAAGCTCAGTGCTAGGAGCCAGAACTCTGTGCTGGGGTGAACCTACCACCTGACCGCCCACCATCGCGAGAGGCCTCGGTGCGACAGGCCGGGCCGTAGTGTTTCCCGCGTGTTTTTACCGCAGTTCATCGAACGCCTCACCCTCCCCTTTCCCATTCAGGTATTTTCCTTAAACACGGAGAGGCCAGATCCGTCCCCGGGCCTCCCGAATCTTGTTCAGAGCTGGATTTTGATCCGACAGGTCTGTGGTGAGGCTGACATTCTGACTTGTGAGGTGCTCCCCGGGGATGCAATCCTCAGGTCCGCGGACCACATTCTGAATAAGGCGGCCCTAGCAAACGGCTCTACCTGGTACCCGTGTCTGTAGCGGCCTCCTCCCAGCCGCCTACCCCACCTGCAGCCCTCCTGCAAGACTCCTGACCAGCCTCTCTGCCTCCCCACCTGCCCTGAGCCCTACCCCAACACCTCTACACTCGGCCGTAGCCACCGCCCTAACTCAGCACATGGCATCTTCACCCACACCAGCAAGTGTCCCAGCACCGTCCACAGACCACCAGCAGCACGGTCCACTGAGCCGCCAGTTAAAATGCAGATTCCCGGCCAGTTAAAATGCAGATTCCCAGGCTCTGTGTCTGCGGGGAGGGGCCCAGACCCCGGTCAGTTCACCATCTCCCTGGCAATTCCTAACAAGGTCAATGATCCTGGGGCTGCGGGCCTGAGGACGGGCTGCAGCTTAGGACCCAGCTCCCCTCCCCAGCTGGGCTCCTTGATCCCTCTCCCCCCGCAACCCAGGTCCAGGGCCAGAATGCTGCCCGTGTGGGTTTCTCTTCCTCACCCTACACACGTTTCCCCATGCCTGGTCCAGTCCCTCCTTCCTCCAAGGACGTCTCCCGGCCTCTGTAGCAATGAGAGAAATGCTCCTGCCTTTATCCAAAGGCCTACAGGCTCGGCGCCTAGGTGACACGTTTTAGCACTTCTTCTTTGAAACATATAAAAAT